CACTTACACACTCACACGCACATTAAGCTTGCACGCGCTACCACCCAAACCACTACGACCAAATTAGGTTCAACCCTTAAGTTACGCACACATTTAACACGAATTTAGTACACAAATCCCACAAAAATAATTTGAGGCTTTAATGAAAATGAAAATGAAAATCGATTACCAACCTGTTGTGCCGCATTCTGCAGATTCAACAGGGGCTCCGAGGAGCGCTTCAGAAATAAGCGCAACTTGTTCTCCTTGGTGGACGTCTCCCTTTTGCGCTGGGGTGATGGCGCAGAGTACAGCATTTTCGCAAATACACGCGAACGTGACGCGAGTACAGCCTGCAAGTCAAGTATGGAAAGCATTAAAAACAAAGCACATTAGAAATAATATTTAATAAATAAATAATCATAACAGAAAGTGAATGGCTTTCTAATGAAAAATAGAAGTTCTAATGCTGCACTTATGTACTGGTATACGAACTGTACGTACAAGCGACCTCATTGACCCATTTAGCCATCCGATACTGCAGCCAACGGCGATACCTGAACACTTTGAAAATGTCGATAACGTGATAACTTAACGAAGTGAAATCAAACCAAATTTTGTGCTACAAAGTATCTAACACGTACAGCACAACACGTACTACAAAAACCGATACACATATGTACAGTGTACCCACACAATGCCCCTATTTGCATTCACGTGTGGCTGTTACACGCAGTTCTGTACTTCTGTGTTTCTGTGCTTGTGTGCTTTTGAAGGCTTACTCCCACTTACCTTTACGGCACAAACTGGCTCACGTGTGTCGCCCACCAGAAACGTTACATCACAGAGTTCTGGCATCGAGGCTAAAAACTTCATGTCATCGGCTAGGCCGGTTTTGTTTTCGAACGTCGATAAGTCTGGCTCCGCGTCAGCCATGCCGGGCAGTGTCAGAGCTTCGGGCATTTGGGTTTTCTGAAATTTTTTACAAAATTCATAGTAGGAGTTTTTAATTTGTTCCTTCCATCATTAAATATTAATAAAAATGAATAAATATAGAAAAAAAAACGTATGAAAACTTTTTAGGTTAGTAAAAAGTATAGCTCAGGGATGCATTACATAGTATTTTCCACTTAAAAAAACTTTTAGGAATTCAAAATATTATACGTACAATAACAAGGGTTTTATTTACAAAATGTTTAAAATTGTCCAACTGCACTTTCTTTTAAAGAATTCAGGAATAAAGAGAAAGTATTAATAAGAAATTAAATGAAATGAATATCACAATTCGGGTATATAACTCAACTCAGCTGAAAATAGACAAGAGAAATGAATAGTATGTAGTGTCGGCGAAATTGACTGTAATGCCATCTAGTGGTAGAAATTTTAAAACTGGACTATATTACCTAACATATGAATACATATAAATACACATAAACTTCATATACCAAAATAATGTTATGTCTCCATATGCTCAAATATTTCCCGCAGAAATGGAATATAACAGTAATTCCTATCAAATTTGATGACTGGATGTACAGTAAACTTTTACGAGATAGTTAGTAATCAATTTATCGAGTTTGGAATATCTCGGTAAATAACATAACATAACCACTGACCAGGAATATTCTTACACAGGAAGTATAAATGGTTTACATAAAATCAAGAAGACTACTTTACAATTAAATTTTATTAGTACACAATATGACTTCACTGATTTTAAAAAAGTCAGTATATATACACCACACTTTATGTAGATGATTACCTACAATATAGTATATAACAATATCCCGACAGAACAGAATAGTATTCACTGACGTACGGATTTTATATTATAGCTATATGTCTACAGAAGTCCAGCAACTTTCTGTGTACTTGGTAAATGCTCCAAAGGATAATAAGTGTTATATGCATAAAACATATTTATCACATTTAAAATTTTAAAATTAGTCCTTCAAAAATAGAAGACACATTATTGTTTTGGAGTACTATAAATTCCAAAACCAAATTAATGAAAATTCTCTGACCTACTTATATCATTACTGATATATTAGGTTGAAATATATAGTATTTTAAAACTTCTTAGAAATTATATTTCAAATCCATTATTAATAATCAATAATATATAATCATTTTAAATTATAATATTTATTACCGCAGATATTTAAGCCTTACATATCGTTATGGTTTCCTATACGACCACCATCACTTTTAAAAAAGGAAAGCATTCTGGATATATACTTAATACATTATTGAAATGTCGGGTCATACAGGAATTACTCATATTTCTGGCAATTTTTTTACAGTGTAGTTTACTACGGGCAAGTGTTATTCCGTAATCATAAAATAAGTACCCATAATAAGCCCCCTCCACAAGCAAATATTCATTGTGATTACTGTGGATCCGAATAGATTCTATATTAATATGCAATTGAAACAACAGGAATGCTTCGAATTATGAGGATCAAATTATATAGTCTCTAAAGCTTCAATCAGTGTTCATAGAATAAAATATTAAAGTATATAATTTATACTTTATAAATGGGGTGGAAGTATATGGAAGAAGTAAGTAAGAGAGTAATGATTTTTTCTGATTCCCTTTCTACTTCCACTTCCACATACACTCCATCTTGTTCTTCTGATTTTTATTCGTTTGGTTTTCTGTCAACGTTAATCCACAATATGCCAACATTTAAATACATCTATTGAATTTGCTAAATTGGTAATATTAATATACTTATGGGTACTAACTTCTTAGATATTAAAAAAATTAAATTAAATAAACTCATGATAATACTCGTATATATATTTATTTATCATATACATTATTGTATATTATTGAGTATTAATTCACTCATTGTTATAAAATCTATTAAACTAAGAAGGTCAAATGACACTTACATATATTTCATTCACCCTAAATGCACCACCTTTTAACTTTACAGGGGAGTATCTACAAGTTTAACATTTCAATATTACGAGAACATACATATGTACGGGTATGAACATTTATCAGAACACAGCACGTCGTCACACAGTTAGGCTAGAACAGTGTGCAGATGTAACCTTGATGTACCTTTTTGCGTGTTACTTGCAACCAGGAAAATACTCGTAGCAACAACACAGTAAAGTCAAAGAAACGCAGATACAAGGGTGTGTAGGAGCCTCTGGGATGATGGCTAAACCGAGTTGATATACAACAAACTAACAACCTGAAATGTAAATCAATTGAGTTCAGCAAGCAATGTCAAAGCTTTCACTTGATGAAGCTGCGGTTTTGTGGCATAGAATGCAAATGATGGGAGTGATGAATGATATACAGGATCCGCTGAACACAAAACATATTAAAAATAACTTTGACGTAATTAAATTCTTTTTTAAATTGTGTACAACAAAGATAATTACAATTTAACAAAGTTTTTTGTAATTCTTGCTATGACGCTACAAGTATAGTAGTTATGCCAATGCTAAGTCCTTGCTGTATTCAGCAATTAAACAGCTTTGAGCAATGCATTTTAAACCATCTATAGATAATAATTCAGCTAATTTGAAAGCATGTATACTTAACTTATAACCAAAACATTATAAAACTAGACATATAACGTGTAACAAAATATCTATTAACCATTATAATCGTATACACACTTACAGGCCTTTTAGGCCTTTTTTAACAGTATTTAATAATGATTGAATATATTCCCATAGAGTTTATATATGCTTAGAATTGAAATCTTACCAGAGACTGAAAAGGTAGTTTTGTAATATATGTGTACAAACAATCGCACAAAGCCCTCAGACATATCACTGCTCAATCTCAGGTATAGAAACTTCACAAATATACTTCACTAACGTGTAAATACATTCACAAAATAACTACGAGTACTTGACGATGACCAATGTGGTCTCCATAATCATTCACCAAAACTTTTTGAAAAAGTTCAATCAATTTAAAAAAAAATCAACTTTTTGTACATCAACTTGCTACAAGTCGCTGATTCCATTGAACGAATTAAAAATGGCTTAAGTTTTCTAAAAAATAACATTCCAAAGAAGCAATTGCGATAAGTAGGAAATATCTTAAATTGCATAAAGATAAAGGCTTCTAGAAAGGAAAACTGATCAACTTTTTTGAAATTTTCAAGATCAAAGAAGAAACTGTTCTCTCTTGCCTTCACTTGTTTTCAGTAGGGTTAAACAATGTTATAAGCAGGTCTGATACCGAAGAAAGAAATTTCAATAATAACAACCAAATCTCCAACTTTGCAGACTGTATCACACTAATACCGTGTAGAAACAGCCTACAAAAATGGGTTGGGATTCAAATTAAGATGCATTCAACATAGATAATGTTGGCTGGGAAACTGCGAATAAATTTAAATATCTCGGAATGGTATTTAGTGCTGAAGAAGACAAATAGGTAAAAATCCTATCAGGTAACAAAACATATATGAACGAAAAATCTTTTAAAAAATCTTTGACTCCATATAAAATATGCTACAACGATAACGTCCCATACATTAAATTCTAACGTATTTTATAACAATTAGGCTGGCGTTGTTAGGAAGAAAGTGTGTTGATAGAACAGCAAAACTAGCTTCTAAGAAAGTGCCTATAGATCAATGAAGAAGAAGGCATATATAAGATAAAGCAATGCGAGTACAAGTTTGATAAAAAGAGACGACAGATACCGATCCATAAAGAAAATTGGTGAAGAAAACACTGGTACACACCAGATTGTTAGTTAATAAATAAAATATAAAGAATTGAAGTTCTTAAGTCAAATTAGAATAATTTATTAACATTATTCAAAATAATTTATAACAAGATATTACTGAGACCCAGTAGATTCTAATATATGCTTGCAAAAGTTCTTGTGATTGTTGTAAACAAGGAGTCAGCAGTACTGATAGTGCTTTCTAACAGGTTGCTATGTGCATTGAAGACCTTCTTACAAATAAAGTATATGAACGAAATCATTTATAAATGCCATAAAAACTGTGGTTGGACGGGTAGAAAATTGTGGTAAAAATCTTAATAAAAATTAATTGAAACTTATGCCAAAATCTGTACATTACTCAAGATACTCAAGATACTAAGAAGACAAAATATTTCATAAAGGCATGCGAAATAAATACAAATCTAAGAAAATAATTGAACGTTACCTGCCTTTTATTTTATTTTATTTTTTTAAGTTTTTAAAGTTAATCGAATTTTTAAATCCTTTAAAATTCAATTTGTGAATAAAAACAAAATAATAATATATATTAAGTTAAAGTGAAAATGTAATTTCTCTTAGAATATACTTACCTGGTCTGGTTGAAAAATTGTTGCGTTTTAACGGATTTATACTCGTTGAGAAAATCCGTTGAACTTATGTATTATTTCATTTTGACTTGAGTTTGACAAACAAATCGTATAGGGAGAAGTTTACGGATTTAGTTTTAAAACAATTAAATTAAAAAATTTATTTTCGACACATAAAAATAATCACATTCCGTTAATTGTTAGTTAGTAGATACGACGTAAAAAGGATGGTTGTGATGTTATCTATTCAAATGATTAGTGCTTAAGCAAAATATAGAAAAGTTTGTCAAATAAAATAATAAAAACAACGATAACAAATAATGTTCTGTTTTAATAACTTTTTTTAAAAATAAATATTAATGGCCAATTGTGAAGCTGTAAGTAAAGAAAGAGTTTTATATTAATTTAACCTATAGTGAAGCTATCAATCACTTCCTATGTCTCTGTCCAGGATTGTAGACAAAGCGACTGCAATGTCTTGCGGATTGCTTTTTTACTGGCTTGGAAGAGATAACGAAAGCAAGCTCACTGGATCTCCTCAACTTCATCTGAAAAACCCAAATGGTTTAACAAGGACAACAAAGGCTAGCAACTCGCCTCTTCCGAAATAATTTTTGAGGGCATCACAATAGGCAATATATGCCACCGAGTGGAAGTGCTGACAACTGTCAGCAACTGTAACAACTGTAAGCGATGGCCACAGTCTCATTTGGTAAAAACTGTAAGCATTTCAAGTAATATAAGATGTAAACTTTAGTTGTAAAAGTAGTTCAGTACTTCAATATAGAAAAGGAACAATTCAATCGACACATAATTCCAAGCGGATTAGAATACGCTATTTTATTTCGTAATACGTTATCCTCTTCAGTACTAAATGCAGTCTTGAAGCGAAATATCGTTATATAAAAATTCCAATAAAAAGTAAAACCATACCATACACTCTATTCTTATCTCACTAAGTTCTGAAATGTGTGGTAAATTATGTGGTGACGTTCAGAATTACATCCTGAAAAAAATTTACAGTCATTTTTCAAACTTGTAAGGAATTATGAAACAAACCTGTCTACACTTATCTTTTCTATAATACCTAAAATTAAACTCGAAAAAATCGTACTTACTTCTCAGGGAACTCCATATTTTTATAATTTAACATAATATTTGAAGTTATATTCATTATAATTGCGATTATAATAGAAGCTATCTATATATTCTACAAACTTCTATTAAAACATCTTAGGAATGTTACAATCTGTAATATTAACTATTAAAATTTTAAATGGATTCCACTTTTACTAATCTTACAGGTACAAATACCAAGACCTTGACATATCTTTGTCATGTTCCTTTCGCAACAAAATACATTAACTTTTTTATAATAGTATCTGTTGCATATTGATCGGCTTAGTAATGCACTTGCAACTTCATTCGAACTAGACTCTTCAATAATTCTCCTCTTATAATATGTTCCATTACAAAATAAACTTTTCACAGTAACATATATTGAATAGTTCTTTTGAAATCGTAGGTTTCGTCCAGTACTAGAAAATTACCATGTTACTGCATTATCATAAAACGCTCTTGAGTTAACTAATATCTGATAAATATCTGATAAATACGAGATATAAGAGTAAATAAAAATGTGTTTAATTATTGGAATTCAATTTGAAGCAGTTAATGAAAGTTGAAACCTACCTTAATTCAATTTGTCTTATTATGCTAAAAGATTTGGAATATACATATGGAACATGCAAAAAATTCGAAGGACTTTAAACTGTGGGAACAAGCAAAGAGATGACATGAACATTTCGATAAGGAGAGGACTGTTTTCTGTGTTGTTGAGAACGCACAGGTAAATTTATGCGGCGCTTTTGAATAATATAACTATTACGTGTTATGTACATGTCCAGTCAATGTTTATGTATGTAACCCTATTTATCTAAAATATGTTTTTACAAGAATAAGTTAACTTAATGTATATCGTCTTCTTGAAGAATTGTTCCAGAAAACTGTTTTTACTTGTTAGATTTCATGAAAATAGCAGAAATAGACTAAACCTACGAGAATGTCTGGAAAACTACAATTGAGTTTATTAACAAAAATTATTAATTTTTCATGAAAATATTTAATCTTTATACTATTTAAATCGAATTCTCCGCACTCTAATAGTATATGCTAATAGTATATAAAAAATCAGTTTACTAATAATAATATTTTTAGTTCTATTTGCTATTTAATTTTATTAAGTTATGACAATACATAATATATGTATATTATATAATAATATATATGTGTTAATGGAAGTTCGCCGTTGCCATATGTTCTGAAAATTTTCTGTATTAAAATTCGCGAGATTTAATTTTCAAAATTATCCTCTTGAAGAGCCTCAAATTTATGATTACGAAAAAAAATGTAATTTTTAATAGGAGGGTTAACTGAACATCAAACGATTTCAACCACTTGAAGAATGAAAAGGGAGGAAGGTGGCAGGTGTCAGGTTAGTGAAAAAACTTTTACGCATACACACACAAATATCTCGGGAATTATGTGAAAAAAGGTAAGTACTTCAAAATTTTCAAAATGTGTATATAAAAAAGGAAATAATAATTAAGATTTAATTAATAAAAATAAGTTTAAAAAATATTGACAAAATTACGAGCAAGCAGAAATTAATTATTAATAAAATTTTATGTAAATAAAATAAATTATTTATTTAGCAGAAAATTAAATTTTACTTTTTTCTAAGACGACGAGTGGAGAAATTTATTTTTTTTTTAATTTTCTTATTTAATTTTTTATATTTGACTTATGCAGAATAGTCCTGTAAACGTCGAGGCTCTGCACACTTTTTCAGCCACTTGATTGAATTTTAAATACAGCAAAATAAAACGTACTTGCACACAATAAAAAATAATTGCAAATTATTATTAGAAATAAGCAAACTATTTATATTGCACTTATTAGAACTGATACTGTATTACAGAACTGATACTTTAATTATTTTTTTACTTAATATTAACTTCTTGTTTATTAATAAAAAATTTAATGGAAAAAATATAACTTTTCGTTAAGCTAACACAAATTCTAAACCATTACGCACAAAGGACACTTCTATTCTGGTTAGTGAAAAAATTTCACTTGCATAAAATAGTTGGCATAGTCTGTCTCTACATCAAAAGGAGTTTCCCCATCAAAGTTGTTAAGAGTTTCGCTGCGTTGCGCATGTCGAAATAAAATCATAGTAGATGCCTCCAGTCAAGTTCATATAAAAAAAATTGTTTACAAATGTCACTTTGAAAACAAAAACTTTTAAGGACTTCGAATGCAAGCGCGAGTACACATATATAACAACCATACGTATTGGCAATCTCACTAGCCTACGCATTTATGCACGTTAACTTGGAGCCAACTTTGACATTAAGTTTTGGGTCCGTCAGGTTGCCATACACTCTTTTTCTCTAATTCTCGCTCTCTCTCTCTCTCTCTCTCTCTCGATATTAGTATTTATTTATTTTGCAGTATCTCTTCAATTGAAAACAATACCACTTGTTTGCTTTTCTTCTCAGCGTCCTTTATGCGCATATCCTTCATCCCGCATATCCTTCATTCCGCTTCCCGAATGTGTTTGTGTGCACGTAAACATAAACAATTTTTGACAGCTCGCTTTGACAGTTTCGTTAATGCGTTTTATTTGTTTCCGTTATCATTAAATGTCAAAGTGACACTTGAAAAATTACGGTACGTTAAGGAATTTATATAATATGCAGAATTAATAAATAATACAAAAGAAGACATTGAACATTGAAATTAATGCTTTTAAACACATCTTCATGTTACATAGTACCATTGATTATGTTGAGAAAGTTGACATAAATTATATATATAATACCCTATCATTCAATACATCCCGCCATCAAACAAATTCTACCCGTCTACTCAATTTTATTAGTGTATAGATAAACTATGTCTTTGCATATTAGACAACAAATGATTATGTTGAGAAAGTTGACATAAATTATATATACAATACCCTATCATATAATACATCCATCAAACAAATTCTACCCGTCTACTCATTTTTATTAGTGTATAGATAAACTATGTCTATGCATATTAGACAATCAATGATTATGTTGAGAAAGTTGACTTAAATTATATATATAATGCCCTATCATACAATACATCCATCAAACAAATTATGGTCTATATGTCTTTGCATATTAGCCCAGTAGGACTACAAAGTCTTGTTACGATTAAAGTTATTAATACTTCTATTACAATCTTATTTAAACACATGCGAGTACAGCTACATATATACTATTTGAAGTCTACTGTTAACAACTATTTTATGCATAATATTTACATAAAATTCTATTCAAAAACAAATTTAGGAATAAACGAAGTACCAGCGCCCAACGGAGCGTAGAACTGCTACCATGGTCGATCTTTTGTGCTGTAAAAGACGCTAACCGAACAGAAGACATTCCGCTTTCCGAATGAAGGCTAGAATGTCGACCAATGAGGACTTCCTAATATCAGAGAGTAGTAGGGAGAGTAGTTCTCAACCCCGTGACCTCCTCTTGGCCGAGATCAAAGCTGGGCAGTCACAGAGAATGTGAGTGGAAGTCTCGTCTACTTCCAAGCAGAGTCGACAATCTATCTCTTCGGACAGACAAACCCACACTTAATAATAAAAAACTATAGAATACTATATGAACCAACTGATAAAGTGTATTCAACAAAATATTTTATTAGATTAAAAGAATATGTCTATATGAAGATATAAGAATATATCTATATGAACATATAAATATGTATATGTTCATGTTATCCATTAATATCAAAGAAAAAGATTTCCTTTAATACGAATATATTAAAATGTCAGTTTTGTATTTCAAATATTTGATATACATTCAGTATAAAGTTTTTTCATTTATGGATTTTATTTATAAATAGACATTCTTACGAATAGAATTGCTTGGTTATATTGATATTTTTATTCTTATCTCAAAAGTTATAACCGTTCAATCGGCAACAACCGTTCCACGCATTAACTTTTTATTGGCATATTTTTTTAAAGCGTTCCAATATTGTATTTATTTTGAATACATCCGTTCTATATAGATTTATATAAAAAATTTAAAATTAATTCTGATTGAAGAGGAATGTTAAACTTAAGCATTCATTCTTTATTTTACTCTAAAT